CCATTCTGTAGGGAGCCCATAGGTTGAATTACTTTATTAATGGTTCTCAGATCTGTCAGCATGCTTCAATTACTGGACTTTTTTCTAATAACAGGAGAATTCCAAAGGCTGGTAGATTCTTCAACGTGTTGAGCATTCAACTGCTCTTGAACCAGCTGTTCTAAAGCCTGTAGCTTCTCTTTTGTCAGAGGTCATTGTCCAACCTGGACAAGTTTATCAGTTAGCCATTTTAAAGGTAGGGCTGTTGGTACTTCTGAGAGTGCAGCAGTTGTGCTCTGTTTATGTACAGCCTGAATGGTTGGTGGCTGTTTTTTATAGTATGTTATAATATTATTCCTAGAAACATGCATTGGTCTATATTCCCTTTCTGAGATTGTAGGAATTTAAATCTGGGTATCCCACTGGTATAACAGATCTCAGCCCCAAAGATTCACTGCTACATTTGCCACATATGGCTTCAGCCTTCCTCTCTGTCCTTCTGGTCCTATGCGTTCAACCCATCTCATTGTTTTACCTGAGATAGGGTTCCAATCCCTAGAAATTGGACATCTACCTCTTGAAGAGGCCAATTTGCATGCCATGATTTTGGTGTAATTATAGTCACATCTACACCTGTGTCTACCAGGCCCTCTAGAACAATGCCATTAATTCAAAGTCCAAGCTTTGGTCTTTATTTATTTGTGGAAGTCTGCCAAAATATTCATTTTATTGTATTCTTTGGAACTTTTGATTTAGCTAGCAGAGCTGTTTTATTATCCAGTGCAGTATCATTCTTTACATTAGACAATGCATTGTTTAATTGTTCTGAAGAGGAATTTCCTCCCCAGTGGCTGGAAATGTTTGGACTATGTTTGATTTGGGGGCTGGCAAGAGTTCCTCTGAGGAGTTTCTTGCCAATAAAAAGTTGCCTTATATATCTATTGTTGATCTGCATTCATTGGTCCAATGTTGGCCTTTGCCTCATCTTCTACATAATCCAGAAGGTTGAGCTCTCCCATTTGGGTTATTTCTAGAAGGAGTATTGCTTCTAGGAGCACCCTATGTACAGTTTCTATTTATATGACCTGTTGTACCACAGTTAAAACATTTGGTACCTTGAGGCCTCCTTCCACTTCTGGAAATTCCCTCTCCTATCCAAGCCTCATTACCACAGTTTAGAGACTCAACACCATTAATATATTGAACCCATTCTTCCAAAGGTGCTGACCTGACCTTTAATGGTGTAAGTATTCTTTTGCATTCTGCATTAGCATTGCTGAATGCCAAGGACTCAGTTAATACTTGTCTTAGTTCTTTGACACTGGCTTTTTTTATAACTGTAGTCTGCCTTTGCAAAAAATCAGTAAAAAAAAATCAGTGGCCCTTGGAAAATTTTTGTGTATTGCTCAATTGGTTTTCTTGGTTCTGGGATTTTTCCCAAGCATTTAGTGCTGCTGTATAGCATAGGGATACTATATGCTCACCAAAAGTATTTTCTAAATTTCTATCATCAAAATGTCCCTCACCAAGAATTTGATCTTGGGAGATCTTAAAACCTCTGATCTTACCCTGCTTCCCTAGACTTCTAGGTTCCTCTCTCAATCAGATTTCACATTGTAACTGCTGGCTATATTCTAGAACAGTTGAGATCAACAGATTCCAATCATCTGGTATGATTCTATTTGTGGAAGACCACGTATTTAACATCTGTCTTACATATATTGAGTGTATGTTATATGTGACCACCACTTCCTTAATGGTTTTTAAATATCTCATGGGAATAGCTTGCAACATATATTCTACATGTGGCTCAGGCTGTCTATCATCTGCTGGCTTCTCATGGTTGATGACAGGATGAGCCATTGTATGAGAGCCATCTGGAGATGTTAGGACTTGTATGGTTTTCCCCTTCTGCCTCTTAGCTCCTTTGTCATCTTTACTGAGAGTTATGTCCAGAGCTTGCAACTGAGCACCTATGATAACATGCATTGAGTGAACCTCCTCTGTTGTAACGGATTCCAGAAATTTCATTGAATTATGCAAACTTTTATGTCCTTCTGAAACACATGATTCCATAGCCCTTATTTTATCAGTTAACAATAATCTTTCTTCCTTATAAAGTATCTGAGTAGCAGCAACATCACTTTGGAGAGTTATTGATTTATCCATTGAGTATTCATATTTATTATCAATAAAATCAAATCTGGTTGTACATTTATTATTAATAGACTGAAGTTCTTGTAATAAATTAGCAGATTCCAAACAAAGGATCCTCTTATTTAAGTCTTTATTACTACCTTGTAAAGCCTGGTTTTTAGATTCCAGAGAAAGTATCTTTTTATTTAAGTCTTCATTGCTACCTTGTAAAGCCTGTATCAGCCTCAGTAACGACTCATCTTTGTTATTACTATTAAACCAGTTCTTCAATGCTATGTGAATTATTATGCTAAACACTAAAATGGTGTATATCATGTACGTCCCAGGAAGGTCGTATATGTCCTGTAAAAATTCATTCATCATACAAGCAAGCAAAAAAGTTTTCAAATTCTTGTGAAGTAATATTTTCCACCATGTTTTGAGAAATAGTCAAAATTTGTAAAGAAAAATTTATTAGCTTGTTTATTTATTAATTGGTTTTAAGGTGTAAAACTATCAAGTACTTTTACCTTGAATAAAATCCTTGGTTGCTGATGTTTCAGTTCTTGTGATGATTTTTGGGTGTAGTAGTGCTGTTCGGCCAGCAGGTGTCTCACTAAAGCAGGTTTTGCAGAAGACCTTAACCTGTATGTCTTAAAGGGCTGTAGTTTAACCATTAGGTTCGCTGTCCACTATGCATGTGGCAGCCCTGTATGTGGCAGCCCTGTGTGTGCATGGGCCTGAGATGCGACCGGTGGGTTTGGGGGCCGCTCACCACATCTTAGGCCTGCTTGGTCTACATAGAGAGTTTATGGCCATTCAGTGAGACCTTGTCTTGCAAGAAAGACAGGAATGTCTTCATGGACAAAATGTGAATGAGGATGAAAAGCTAAAGGCACCCTATTTTCTCAATAAATAAATTCATTCTTTTAAGATCAACAGCATCCTAAACCGTTCCTTTCATACTCACCTTGGCGGTCTCTTCTCTGTAATGCTCCCACGTCTTCTAACTGAGAGATCAGGTTGGGTTTGAGCAGTAAACAACCTGTGCACAGGGACTGCTGTACAACAGAACAGACTCATAGAAGCATCAAGTACCTCCAGATAATCCATAATGTTGCTCCTCATTATAATCATGAAATTATTTATGAAAGGCTGATGTAGTTTGAAAGAAAATTGCCCCAAAGGCTCATAGGGAGCGGTACTATTAGGAGGTGTGGCTTTGTTGGAGGAAATGTGTCACTGGGGATAGGCTTTGAGGTTTCAAATGCCCTAGCCAGGCCCAGTATCTCTCTCTCTTCCTGCTGCCTGCAGATCTGGATATAGAACTCTCACCTCCTTCTCCAGCTCCATGTCTGCCTGTACACTGCCATGCTTCCTACCATGATGACAATGGACTAAATCTCTGAACTGCAAGCCAGCCCCAATGAAATGTTTTCAAGAGTTGCTGTGGTCATGGAATCTCTTCACAGCAATAGAACTTTGACTAAGACAGCTGAAAATGACCTTTATCTGTTTCTAAAGACTATCACTGAACCTTAAAGCACAAATCAATGATTATGTACACAATTATAACTAACACTCTCACTCAGGAAACTGAGTTAAACTGACTGTCTTCTGCCCACCCTTCTTCACATTTCTCTTTCTTCTCTCTCTCTCTCTCTCTCTCTCTCTCTCTCTCTCTCTCTCTCTCTCTCTCTCTCTCTCTCTCTCCAGGATCTTATGTATCTTAGACTGACCTAAAAAAAATACAAAAACAAAAAACTATGTAGCTGAGGTTGGCTTTGAACTCCTGATCCTCCTGCCTCCACTTCCAAAGTGGATTACAGATGTGCATCACCACATCTGCACTTGGACCACATTAAGAATTTATTTGAGGGCTGGAGAGATGGCTCAGAGGTTAAGAGCACTGGCTGTTCTTCCAGAGGACCTGAGTTCAATTCCCAGCACCCACATGGTGGCTCACAACCATCTGTAATGAGATCTGGCTCTCTCTTCTGGCCTGCAGGGATACATGCAGACAGAACACTGCATATATAATAAATAAATAAATAAATAAATAAATAAATAAATAAATAAATAAATAAATAGATAGATAGATAGATAGATAAATAAATAAATAAATCTTTAAAAAAAGAATTTATTTGATTTATTTATTTAGAGTGTGTGTGCATGTTTGTACACATGTGCTGCATCATGTATGGAAGGCAAAGGACAACTTGCAGGAGTCAGTTCTCTCTTTCTATCATATGGGTTCCTGTCTGAGTCCAGCTCCGACCTGTCTAAGGGTTCTTAGGGGGAGGAGAGAGGAATGAGGAAATATTACATAGAAATACAGGCAGAGATGAGAAAGACAGACACAGGATAGCTTCCAGAGGGCTCTGGGTCAATACCCAGCCACTCCAAGATTTATTCTTATGGGCTTTTTATACACTACCAAGGGGAGAGGTGAAAGACCTCCCCCTTTCAAGATCAAAGTGCAATGTACAGCCAAATGTAGACCCTTCAAAATACCTGGTAACCACACCTATGGCCAAATCATCCTATTATGCAGCCCTGTTGGATAAAGTAAGTTCAGATTCTCTGATCTTGAGTAAGGCCATATTAGGGAGCCTCTGTGGGTCTCCACAGGTTCCAGGGATTGAAATCAAGTCATCAGGTTTGGTCACAAGTGCCTTTACCTTCTGGGCCAACTTGCCAGCCCTGTTGGATCATATTTTAAGAACAACCATAGTATAGATTACAATTCATCAGTGCTGGAACTAGGTTTCTGTTATTTCTCACTAGACTCACAACTGACATCAGCGATGCTGAAATACAGTTCATACACAGCACTCCTCTCCTCCCTAAGAGACAAGGAGGGCAATGGCATCTTACTTGCTGAGGACAAGTTCTGGTAGTTCTCCAGCATCACATCTCTGTAGAGGTCTCTCTGAGTTTGATCCATTATAACCCACTCCTCTTGGGTGAAGTCCACAGCCACATCATCAAAGGTCACTGAGTCCTAAATCATAGACATGCCAGTCTGAGTAACACATGACAATAGGCATGTCTCCATAATGTTCTCTGGAAAGGAATGAGAACAAAGCCTCTATGGGGTTCTGAGGGTTCTGCTAGTCCTAGATCTTCTCTATAAGTCACCCCAGCCACTCTCTACTGAAGGCATTCATGGCATTAGTGACACATGACAGGATCTCAGAGTACCCAGACTGGGAACTGCTTTCGTCTTAGTCTTCCCACCCCACAGCACTGGGAAAGGAACCTAAGGTGTCACACACACCAGGCCAGTGCTCTAACACTGGGCTACATCCTAGCTCTTTTTTCATTTACAACATTTTTATTACATTTATTTATCCAGATATATGTTTGCATGTGGGTGCATGCATGCCACGCTGAGTATGAGGAGGTCAGAGAACAACTTGGAAACAACAACAAGGAAAGTCAGTTCTTTCCTTCCAATATATGGGTGAAGCATGAACCTAATTAGTCTTATCAATTGAAACCAGAAGTCAGATATTGGGGCAATAACCTGAAAGATTAGAGAAGCAGAGCAGCAGCCACTAGAGACTTCTTACCTCTACAAATCCTCAGACAAAACGGGACCAAGATCCTGTCTCCACCCACCTTATATTTCTTGTCTCCATCTCCTGATTGTGCTGGGATTAAAGGTGTGAGCCTCCCAAGTTCTGGATCAAAGGCATGAACCTAACAAGTGCTGGGATTAAAGGTGTGACCCACCATCACCTGGTCTCTATGGTTAACTAGTGGCTAGCTCTGCCCTCTGATCTTCAGGCAAGCTTTATTTGTCAGAACACAATAAAAATATCACACAACATATGGGTCTCAGAGATCCAACTCAGGCTGTCTGGCTTGGTGGCAAGTGCTTTTACACACCGAACCTCTCAGTGGCTTCATCTCTGTATTTTGTTTTTGTTTTGTTTGCTTAATTTTTTTATACAGGGTCTCCTTTTGTAGTCCTGACTGGCCTGGAACTTACAGATATCTACCTACAGATAAACAGACATCTCTGTCTTCCAAGAGATAGAGTTAAAGTTGTGTGCCGATACACCCAGATTTTTTTTTATTATGAAACAGAGTATTAGTAAGCCATACAACCTTGTAGTCGGACAGGCCCATAGGGTCGAGGAAATTGGCTCAGACCAGTTGCTAAGGCATGCACATAACATACTCCTTATGAGCCAACCTGGAGTCTGCCTGAGGGCCTAGCAACAGGAGCTGTCAGAGTTCCTAATTGATGTCAGAGTTCCTGATCATGCCCAGCCAATGAGGGACGACCACTCAATGCCACCAGATTGCGACACAGACTGGGTGCTGGGAGGAGGGTATATAAAGACTTCCCCGTTATTAAATAAATGAGTCTGATGTCTGCCTTCAATGACTCCCAATGTCTGAGCCGTCGATCCCGCCTCCCCGCCTCCCGCCTCCAGCAAGGGAGCTGTTAGGATCCAGCATCATCACCCAAGTAGCTGAGATGACAAACCTGTGTCACCAAACTTGGTTCATTTTCTTACTTAATTGATTTGAGTCAGGGTCTCATGTAGGAGGGTCACAATCAGTAACTACTGGACAGTCACAGCAACGTTCAAGTCGGCTGTTAGAATTCCTAGCCATTTCCCCATGACCACGCATGCGTTGGCGAGACAGTCATCCCAGGGCCTTACGACCTATGTAATCTGTGTGCTGCATGATCAAGTAATTTGCACGCAGCGTGATCACATAATCTATGTGCATGCGGTGTGGCTACATAAGCCCATATGCGCATGTGTGGGGGAATCTATAAAAGCGGGTCCCACATGCCCCTCCCCGCTTCTTCCTACACAATCATTCCCATAGGCACCCCTTCTTTTCCCTTCCCCTAAAAAACTCTTATAGTGGGTTTTGTTGTATCTCGTGGCTTTTCTTGCACAGTAAACAGTGCCACTTAATAAATGACATTGGTGCTGAGATGAAGCAGGCCCTCCTGGTGCTCTGCGCCCAGGACCCTATACTGAGGTTTTACTCTATCTATGACTGCCCACTTTTCCATTTGTCCAGCTGCCGGACCACTTCACACAACACCGGCTGCTTCGATTGGTGAGTTTTCCCTTTCCAGCCAGCATAAACAGTCCTCTGGACCTGTGGGAATGGCCGTAGATTGCCTGGCGTCCCCGGGATTGGGGGAACCCCGTCCACGCCCTTCATTGGCTATGGTCAGCCCCCATCACAGGCTTCAATCCCTGGCCATTTCCCACGACTGCAGTCTGAGATATCGTTCTTGCTGTCAGACCCCTAGGGGGGTCCTCGGGCTATGTATGCCCTGGCCCTCACCCTTCTAGCTTGACGAAGAGTTGGGTGACATGTGCCAATTGGGAACACCTGAGATTGTAGTCTTGGATCACGTTTTTTTTTTTTTTTTTTTTTTTTCTCTCTGCTGCAGCCATGGGAAATAAGGCTTCCTCCTGTTAGTCGAAGTCCTCCTCAGAAATGGCCCAAATATCTTAGCTAGCAATAAAAATGGCCACCTAATGGCTCCTTGGACCCCGATATTCTACGGGAATTATCTAACTTCTGCCAGCAAATGGGTAAATGGAAAGAGTTGCCTTATATTCAAGCTTTTTTTTTTAACCTCAGCTCCAAACCCTGCTTTTTTGATTCCTTCTCTCCTGCCCATGGGCTCCTAGCTGTGCAACCTGAACCTAAGGGATCTCTAACTCCAATGCACCTCTGCCTATCGGAACTCCCGCTCCCACTCCTCCGGCATCTGCCTCTTTGGCTCCTCCTCTAGCCCCCTCCTCTCCAACTTCCTGACACTGGCTCCCACTTCCACTCCTCCTCTAGCTGCCCCGAGGAGCATAGACGAGTTTGGGAGCAGGCTAGGATACATGCAGACGAGGTTCATCAAACTAATGCTGCCCGTCCACCTGGGGCCGAGGCAGTTCCCGATAATTCAAGATAAGGAAGAAAATCTGTCTCATCTTTTTCAGAACGGCTTACAAAGGTTCTCTTACAGTATACTAGCCTAGATCCTGAGGGCCCAGAGGGCAGACAACTCCTTATGACCCGCTTTGTCTCGCAGAGCTTCCCCGACATCAGGGCTAAACTTAAACATCTGGAGAGGGGGCCTCTGACTCCACAGTCAGAAGTCTTAGCTGTGGCATTTAAGGTATACCATGGGAGAGATGAGAAAGCCCATAAACAGAACTGCCAAATGGTGGCACATGCTATCCGACCGGCCGCCCGAAGGCCTTCAGGCCCTGTTTTAAGTGTGTAGAGAAGGCCACTGGTCTCGTGCCTGCCCAGCCCCATGTGGGCCACCATCTGGGCCTTGTCCAAAGTGCCAAGAGGGACACTGGTCAGCTGACTGCCCCCATGCACCTCATGGCATGGGGACATCAAACTAAGACCACCCTCCAGAGGATCTCCTCGGCTTGGTGGTGGACAATTGAAGGTGCCATCTCTCATAGGGAACCCAGGGCAGCCATTGCAGTATCAGGGCAATCCATTTCCTTCCTTTTGGACAGTGGAGCCACTTACTCAGTCCTGAGGGAATTTTGGGGTCCCACCTCACCTTCTCATCTCCCTATTGTTGGAGTAGAGGGACAGCCTTACCGACCTCACCAGACCCCACCACTTAATTGTATTTTCAGGGGTATCCCTCTCATCCACACATTTTCAGTTGTGCCAACCTGCCCTGTGCCCCTAATGGGACGAGATTTTCTAGCTAAGGCAGGAGCTTTTATTTCATTTGCTCCCCCCATTTGCCTCACTCCAGACTTACCAGCAGCTCCTCTCCTCCTCCTCCTAGTCACCCAGCCTACTAGCTCTAACATTTCATTTCCCTTGCCAGTCTCTCAGGTGGACCCCAAAGTCTGGGACACCCAGAACCCTTCTATTGTTAGGCACCATCCCCCCATTATTATCATCCAGTTGCTACTCAGCTAATTGTTATAGGACCACCATAGAGCCGGAGGCCAAGGACCATCAAGTATACCCAGGCAGTAAGGAACAGTAACAGTCCAGAGGTATTTACACCCCCAGACTCAAAAGTGCCTGGACTCTGCAAAAAAACAGACTTTAATATAACTATTAATTACTGTTAAATGCCCTCAGCAATTGATCACCTGTGTCTCTTGGATGCTGAATTACCAAAGAAAACAGGTGCCTTGAGGTTTGTCTTAGATAAGGCTTATCTCAGGTGAAAATTAAAACCATGTTCCAGGTCTCTCTCTCTCTCTCTCTCTCTCTCTCTCTCTCTCTCTCTCTCTCTCTCTCTCTCTCTCTGTCTCTCTCTCTCTCTCTCACACACACACACACACACACACACACACTAACACTAACCAATAAAATTCTGATAGCAGAATACTAAACATTATAATATCATGGTTACCAGCTCAAGATTTTAAATTCCCTGTGGCTGCTTCTTAATATGTTTAAAAATTCTTCTGAGCTCCAGAGCCAGCTTGAATTGACCTGGACAGGTCAGATCGATGTCAGATAAGTATAATTCAAACTTTCCTGGTCCTGGGACCCCCTCTGTCACCCTGGGACCCCTCAGGGACCCCCAAGGTAAATTTTTTTCTGAACTTCTTCTGTCTCGCCAGCACCTTGTCAGACCTAAACAGTCACAGAGCCCGAAGGAGTTGAAGACGATGGACGATTCCCAAAGCAGCAGAGGACAATCCACTACCTCAGGATGCCCAGCTACCTCAGGAGCCCTCTTCCCTACCCCCAAGAGTTAACCAATGCCCACCAAGTCAGCTGGAAGCACTTTTGGGAGGCACAGCGCCCCCATTCCCATTCACCCACCATTTTGATAAGAACAAAGAGTCTGGAATGTTAGAATTCCTAGCCACTCCCCATGACCGTGCATGCACCGGCAAGACGCCTAGTCATCCCAGGGCCTTACGTCCTACGCAATCTGTGTGCTGCGTGATCATGTAATCTATGTGCATGCGGCATAGATACATAAGCCCACATGCGCATGTGTGGGGGAATCTATAAAAGTGGGTCCCACATATCCCTCCCCCTTCTTCCGCACAATCATTCCCATAGGCCTAAGCACCCCCTTCTGTTCCCTTCCCCTAATAAACTCTTACAGTGGGTTTTGTTTCTCGTGGCTTTTCTTGCATGGTAAACAGTGCTGCTTAATAAATAACGGCCTCTATTTGGAGGGCTCTGCTCTCTGGGAAAACCAACTAGGGACTCAGTCCTGGAGTAAGGTTCTATACATTTAAGAAACTGGTGAGTTGGGCTAGGACAACCGCTCAGTGATGATAAAGTACTAGCTCTTCAAGCCTGCAGACCTGAGCTTGGCTGTTGGGGAATGTTATTTTAAGGTGTGTTACATTTGTTTATGTTGCATCTGTTTAACTCTGTGAAACTGTATTACTGTGCCTGTGCCACCTAATAGATTAATAAAGAACTGGCCAATAGCAAGGCAGGAGATTGGAAAGGTGGGGCTGGCAGGTAGAGAGGATATATAGAAGGAGAAATCTGGGAGGAAAAAAAAAGATGAAGGAGTGAAAGGAGGAAGGAGCCAGAGGAGGAGGAGGACATCAGGGGCCAGCCACCCAGCTACACAGCCAGCCATGGACTTATAGATTTATAGAAGTAAGAGAACAGGAAAAGCCCAGAGGCCAAAGAAGATGGGATAAGTTAAGTTAAATAAAGCCAGCTAGAAACTAAGCCAAGCTAAGGCCAGGCATTCATAATTAAGAATAAGCCTTCACATGTAATTTATTTGGGAGCTGGGTGGTGGGCCCCCCAAAAGAAAAAACAACAACATTTGACTTCTCAGAACCTATGTAAACCTGGTTCTGAGTCTGATTAGTCAGGTGGCAAACCTGAGCTCTATGCGATCTACAGTTAATGAAGTGATATGCAAGAACTTTCTTCCCTGATGTGACGGCTTATGCAGTCACTGGATGGGACCTAGAATCACCTAAGAAAGGAGCCTCTGGGCAAGCCTGTGAGTGATTTTCTTGATTAGGTTAATTGAGGTGGAAACAATTACACTAAATATAAGCAGTATCATTCCTTCTTTGAAAAATGATTTATATTGTTTTGATGTACATGTGCACATGTTTACCATATGTGTGCAGTTGCCTATGGATGCCAGAAGAGGGCATTGGAGGCCTGGAAGCTGGAGTCAGAGGCAGTTGAGAGACACTATATGGGGCTAGAATCAAACCTAGGTCCTGTGGGAAAGCAATGTATTCTCATCTGTTTACTTATTTATTTAATATATTTTGGTTTTTTTGAGACTGGGTTTCCCTGTGTAGCCCTGGCTGTCCTGGGACTCACTCTGTAGACAAGGCTGGCCTGGAACGGAGTGCTGGGATTAAAGACATGCACCACCACTGATGTCTGCAACATATTCTCTTAACCAGCCAGCCATCCCTCCATTTCACATCATTCCTTAAAATATTTTTTAATGTATATAGATATATTACCAGCATGTATAGGTCTGTGCACCACTGTGTGTCTGGTGACCTCATAGTCCAGAAGAGGATGTTAGATCCCTTGGAGCTGGAGTTATGACAGTTGTGAGTCACCATATACATACATACATACACAATAGATAAATGTTAAAACAAAACAAAACAAACAAACCAAAAAAAAAACAGATCTGCCAGGACCTGGTCACAACCACTATACTCTACTACTCTGGCCTCAGTAGAAATAGAGATGTGTGACGTTGTTTGTTTGTTAGGTGCTACAATTCTAACACAGGTCTTATACATATTAAGCATGCATTCTATGGCTAAGTTATGTCCCCAGCCTGAAATGTGACAGTGATGACTATTTTAGCCTCTTGAATCAAGAGAATCCCAGCATTCAGCATTCTTTTTGTTTTGTTTTGTTTTGTTTTTCAAGACAGGGTTTCTCCATGTAGTTTTGGTGCCTGTCCTAAATCTCGCTCTGTAGCCCAGGTTGGCCTTGAACTCACAGAGATCCACCTGGCTCTTCCTCCCGAGTGCTGGGATTAAAGGCGTGTGCCACCACTGCCTGGACAGGGTAGGTTTCTTTAGCCAGCCCCTTTTCCCTACACCTAGCACTGCATAAAACCAGGTATGGTGGTCCATGCATATAATCCCAGGAGTCAGGAGGATCAGGAGTAGAAGGTCATCCTTGGCCACACAGTTTGAAGTCAGCCTGGAATACCTGAGACAATACCTCAAAAGAGGGTGTTGTTTCTTCCATCAAGAGCATGCATGTGAGTAGATACAAACTAGAATGGTGACCCGAGACTTCAGGAAGCATGAGACTACCTAAGCTGCCATTACCATGATGAAGTATCTGAAGGACCTAATGGAGTATTGTTGTGATCCTACGTGTGGAGAGCAAAGAACCCTTTGAAGGAGTTGGTTCTATCCTTCCAACACGTGGGTCCAAGGAATTGAACTCAGGCTGAGACATCCCATCAGCCCTGCATATATATAACTTTAGTGAGAGTCCAATGTATATCTTTAGAAGAGGCTGTCATCAATGTATTATCATACTGCAGCCGAGGAGCTATTGAGAAAGACACTAAACAGAATGCTCCATCCAAATCTGTGCTAGCAAAATATCTACAGGCTGAGAATCTGTATTTTAATAAAATTTGGTATTGGGTATGGAGACCCTAATCATTGGGCCTAATGGATGGAACCATAACATTGAGACTATAGTAATTCATTATGAATAGTTATTTATAAATCTAATCTGTTTTCAGTTTGTTGGCTTTGTTTTTGCTGTGTTCTTTGTTTTTGTTTTTGCTTTTGAGACAGGGTTTCATTATGTGGTCAGGCTGGCCTAGAACTCAGCCTAGAACTAACTAGGCTGGCCTCAAACTCAGAGATTCGCCTGCCTCAAACTCCCAAGTGCTGGGATTAAAGGGTGGGGCACCACCACCTGTCGACTCTATCCCTTCCTAGGCTGTGAGCTGCATGTTCTCACCTTAAGTTCATTCTTTCAGGCACTTTGTCAGAACAAGTAGAAAACAAATGCACTCACTGTTTTGTATTCAATGTGAGTAACAAACCCTTCTCAAGTTCTTCCCCTCTTACTGTTGTGTTCAAAGAACTGGCCAGTACCCATTTAAAATTACTTTTTTCCGTGGACTGTTTTTTTTCCATAGAACTGCCCAAGGTGGCAGTTCTATGCCTGTCTTGATGGTCACTGTTTCCCTACTTCTGACCGATTATGTAGACTGTCAGATGTCCTCAGAATCACCACACTGAAGCACGGATGTGTTATACCAATACCTGCTTCATACTTGTATTCCTGGAGATATACCAGCAATAGTAAGGTTATTGGGGGGGGGGGTCATGAGTCGAGGCTAGCCTGGGCTATCAAAGACTCTGCTTCAAAAAGAAAAAATAAATAGGGTGTCCCAACTCCCCGAAATGGTCTTTCTATCCAGTGCTCACCTGAAAGCCTCAGAATCGCCAGGTCTCTGCAGCTGCAAGACTTAAGGCGAGACTCAACTAAATGTATGTTGACAGGTGAATGTTTTTCCTTCTGAAAAAAAAAAAAAAAAAAAAAAAAAGAAACCAGAAAGGTTTTCTAGGGGCTTTTGAAGAGGGGAAGACACGAAAACAGGCCCGAGTCACGCGTGGTAGTTACGCCTTGTAATCCCAGCACATCAGAAGTTGGGTCAGGAAGTCAGGAGTTCAAAATCACTCTGAACTACATTGTGAGACATTGTCTCAATAATATTTAAAAAAGAAAAGGAAGGCAAAAATCACCCCGGGGACGCAGTGTACCGACAGGACTCTTCGGGCCGGCCCGGGTAGGGGGTGGGCGCCCTGGCTCCCCGGCTTGCATCCACACCCGGACCCTCCACGTCACTAGACCGTCTCAAGGTAGGACCAACAGCAATTTGTTCTTTGACAAACGGGGACCGCGGCGGAAGAGACGACTGCCTTATGGTGTCACTTCCGGGACAGCCTCCTGAGGGGTGCACAAGCTGGGGTTCAGCGGCAGTAAACAGGCTGGGAGCAGTACACAGCTCCCGGCTGCCGCTGCCTGACTCATACCCGCTTGGAGCACCGCGGATTTTAAGAATGAGCCGGAACGCTGGGGGCGGGGCCTCCTTCATGGGGGCGGGGCTACCTCCTCGTGGGTGCGGGGCCGCTGTCCAGGGTCCAGGCCGCCCGTACTGACCCATCCAGAGTCCTACTCTGGGGCGGGTCCGCTACCCAACGCGGAGCCTACACACGCAAGTTTGGTCGGGAGGTGGGGCGGTAGTGTGCACAGCGGGATAGACCTGCAGAGCAAGGTTTCATGCGGGGACTTGCCCCACTGGATGCTCAGAAAAGCCTTGCTGCATGCCTGCCGTCTAGCTGTTCAGCCTACGCAGACTGGTCTGGAGTCACGTACTGGGAATTCCAAGGCTAAATGTATTAGGGCGCAGAAGCTGAGGACAGACAGGCGAGCTGAACAGGACTGACTCCTAGACTACAACGTTGTATTCCTAGTATCCAGGGTGTGGCTCGTGTGTAGCAAGTGTGAAGTCCTGGATACTAACCACAACGCAAACAAACAAAAACAAAAAACCAACTTAAAAAGCCCTAGGACCTACTGTGATGGAGGAAGAATCCCACTGAGAAATTTGTTCCTTGTTTGCGTCTTTTTTTTTTTTTTTTTTTTTTTTTTTTTTTTTTTTTTTTAAGTTGGTGATGAGGATCAAACCTAGGGCCACCTTGGACCTGAGGACCTGAGATCGATCCTTAGGACCTACAAAATGCCGAGTGTGGTACATTTGTAACCCCAGTACTGGGGGAGAGCAGGAAGAGGAGGAATCCCGGGGACTTAGTGGCCAGCCATCCTCGCCCACTTGTTGAGTTCCAGGCCAGTGAGAATTGTAAACATGCCCCAGCCCCTTGTGATTTTTTTATTCCTCTGAGGCTGGGCTCTTCTGGAGGCACAGTGAGAACCTGAAACTGTAGCCCAGGTCCCAGCTTCTTGGTTTACTTGTGCTCAGGCATTGAGATCGCGAGCGCTGCAGGCATGGCTTGGGCAGGATCCGTTTCAAATTAGTTTTTGAGACTGGGTTTTTTTTTCTTAAATTTGTATTACATTTAGTGTGCGTGTGTGTGTGTGTGTGTGTGTGTGTGTGTGTGTGTGTGTGTGTGTGTGTGTGTGTGAAGAAAGGGACTAATTATTTGAATCTACTGCCTAGAGGCTCTAGGCCCTGATCTCGGCATCTATTCTATTGGTCCATAGTCAGACCTGTTATCCATTGCCAACTGGAGCACACACATCTATCTTGAATATGAACCAGAGTCAGAAACTAAGAACTGTGACTTCAGGTTGCCAAAAGCCAAAATTAAAAAAAAAAAAAAAACAACACAGTATTTTTTAAAATTAAAAAAAAAAATTTTTTATGTATGTGTGTCTTGCTTGCATGTATGTCTGTGTGCTATGTGGGTGCCTGGTAGCTAGGAGGTCAGAAGAGGGCATCGAATCCTCTGAAACTGAAGTTACAGGTGGTTTTCAGCTGCCATGTGGGTGCTGGGAACTGAACCCAAGTCCTCAGCAAGAGCAGCAAGTGCTCTTAACCACTGACATCTGTCCAGCCTACTTTCAACATTAATCTTTAAGTACTTACCATTGTATTTGCTATCTTAGCTTGTTGATTTTAAAACAGACCACCAGATGGTCATATAATTAAATAGATTATGTATTCAGGGGGCTGGAGAGACATCTACGTGGGCAAAGCGCTTGCTGTGTAAGCGTGATGACCAGAGTTCAAATCTCCAACACCCATGTAACAGCCAGGCATGGTGCATGTGTCTGTAACTCCAGCGCTGTGGGGTAGAGACAAGAGGATTCCCGAGACTCAGTGGCATGGTGCATGTGTCTGTAACTGCAGTACTGTGGGGTAGAGACAAGGGGATCCCGAGACTCACTAACATGGTGCATGTGTCTGTAACTGCAGCACTGTGGGGTGGAGACAAGGGGATCCCGAGACTCAGTGGCCAGCCAGTCTAGCCAACTGGTGAGCACAGGTTCAGCGAGAGATCCTGTCTGAAAACAACAGAACAACAAAACAAACACAACAACAGCATGGGGGCATTAGATGAAGACTTCCATATCGACTGCTAGCTTTCACATATGCATGAATATGCAAGCACACACATATGTACCACAACACCCAGGAAGGATGTGCACTTATAGTATTTTATATTATGATGTAAAGTATGTGTGAATATACCTGTTGGATTTCTAACACTTATTTACTAAATTTACATACTAAAAATTTATACTAGAAAAAAATTTATACAGTAAAAATGTAGCAAAAAGTCACTTATTGACTTTTATACTTTTACAAAGTGAATTCTAATCAATGGTAACAAGTGGGAAATACGTCAGTTGACAAAACAAAACAAAAAACCAGACTTAATACTGGGGCTAAAACTCTAGGCACACCTGTGCATCCCACATCCCATCCCACCCCACCCCACCCCCCTTTTTGGGAGACAGAGTCTCATATAGCCCAGGATGACCTTGAAATCCTGCTTCCCCTCTATCTCCTGAGGACTAGGATTACAGGTGAGCTCAACCGTGCTTAGTATGTTTGGTTCCAGGATGGAATCCAGGGCCTTGTGCATGCTCTACACAAGCACCCTACCACCTGAACCACACCCTGGCCCCCAGATAAGATATTGGTAACATCCATGTTTCTAAAGGAACACAGATGTAACGTTGCACCAACATCCTTCTCCAAGGAATCTCATTTAACACACTCACAGAAGACACAGAAGTGTGAGAAGAGTCCTGGAGACTCAGAATACAAAAGGGGTAAGTTTATTTTACAACCTTCCAAAGTTGAAGGGCAGCCAAGAGAAAAGGCAAAAATGGCTGGCATGCCATTTTTTGCATAAAACAGTAGTTTTTCCTTATATTACTATCCATGAATTCCTCATTGGTTGAATTCTTCGTGAGGTACAATCTTCCTGGTGTTAAATACTCACTTTATTGGTTCAGGATGAAAAGACTTATGACTGTCCGAGGGCTCAAGAGTCCCCTACTTTCTGATACACGGGCTCTGTCAGGTAGCAGACTGTAATTTTCCAACCTTTGGCTGGACTGAGACAAGACTCCAGCTGCCAGCTAGAGAAATGGGCCTCCTGCTTCTCTGTGGTTCTCTGATGAGCTCTAAACACACCTTATACTGAAAATAGACCATAATGTTTTATTTTTGAGCCTTAAAATTTAGCTACAGGTTAAAATCACTGCTATTAGTGGCTTTAAAAAGAACTAAACAGCAGAGCAGGAGAGATGACTCAGCAGTTAACCGCCTATCCTGCTCTGGAAGAGGACTTGAGTTCAGTTCCTAGTACCCACACTGGGCAGCTTAAAACCGCCAGTAATTCCAGCTCCAGGGAATCTGACACCCTCTTCTGACTTCCAAACATACATGGGTACACACACACACACACACACACACACACACACACACACACACCTACCAACAAACAACAACAACAACAAAACCAAGCTAGTATGGTAACATACCTGAATCCCAGCACATGCGAGTTAGAGTCAGACAGATTTCTGTGAGTATGATGCCAAGCTGTTCTACAAATCAGGTTCCAGACCAGCCAGGGTTCCACAGCAAAACACTCTCTCAAAAATTAAAAAAAAAAAAAAAGGAAGGAAGGAAGGAAAAAGAAAAGAAATAGAGACTGAGTCTGGAGAGATGGCTCAGCCGTTAAGAGCAGTGGCTTCTCTTCCAGAGGACCCAGGTTCAATTCCCAGCACCCACATGGCAGCTCATACCTGTCTGTAACTCCTGTTCCAGGGCATCTGACACCCTCACATGGACCTACAAGCAGGCAAAACACCAATGCACATGAAAGAATGCACATAAAACATAAATTTAAAAAAAAGAAAAAAATAGAGACTGGAGTGATAGCTCAGTGGTTAAAAGCATGTACTGATCTTGCAGAGGACCCAAGTTTAGTTCCAAGCATGTCATATCATACAGCTAGCAATGCCTGTAACTCCAGCTCCAGGGTATCCAATGCCTCGGGCCCTTATGGACACCTGCACTTTCATGAACAGACACATACAGCATATATAATTAAACAAAATAACAAATAAACACATTTTTAAAATGAATAACAAAATAAATCGAAAAAAGCAAAAAATAAATGGAGCCAAACCTGGCCTCTAGGAAACATCTCCCAATTCCTTGACATGGCTCTCTTGTTGGAGGAGGCCATACCTAACCCAGACTCTTTTTTCTACCTGGAAATCCCCTTGGGGCCAAGTTAGGGAATAGTAGAAGAGTTTGTAGATTGCACAAACAGAATTGGAATGTCCCCAATAAAGGACCCAGAAGCAACACGCTGGGCCAGGTTTCAGGCGAGTGTCTTAGGCCTAGATACCCAGACTAACCAATAGGCCAGCCTTTGTTTTCTGTTTGTTAGAAACTATTAGACTGTTGCCTAAAGCACTTTAGAGAATCCAAACTTTGGGAATCTCTTGTCTTAGAGATACTATAAATTGAAATAATGTGTTATCTAATAATGTGTATAGACGAAAGCCCATTGCTGGCCCTGCCAGGACATTCCCTGTTCCTTTCAGAGCTGCAGGTGGTTCTGTTAGTCACTAAGTTACATAGTTTCTTCTTTTCTCTACTTTAACCTTTGTTGCTTGTTCCCGTGTTGTGTACATGCACATGTGTATGCATTTGCCTGTGTCTAGGAATGTGTGTGTATGTGTATGTATATGTGTGTTGTGTGTGTGTGTGTGTGTGTGTGTGTGTGTGTGTGTGTGTGTGTGTGTGTGTGTATTCCAGAAGTTGATGTCAGGAGTCTTCCTTGGTGATGCTCCACTTTATTTATTGAGGTAGAGTCTCTCACTGAACCTGTACCTGAGGATTCTAGCTAGTTTAACTAGCCTATTGCCCAAAGGATCCTGTCTCTACCTCCGGTGCAGGAATTACAGGTTTCTAC